GATAATCCTCACCGGAGGATATTTCCCACTGATTTTTCTTTAACAGAGTGGAAAGGAGGAAAGGGGAGAAAGAGAGAGCGAGACATCGATGTGAGAGACACATGGATTGGTTGCCTCCCACGTGACACATCGGGGTCAGGGATCAAACCTGCAACCCAGGCATGTGCCCTGACCAGGAACTGAACCCGAGACCCTTCGGTCTGAGAGCAGACACTGTAACCGCTGAGCCACACTGGCCAGGCAGACTCTACATCTTTCAATAATGACAGAGACTCACCCAGACCTCGCCCCACACCAGTCACTGTGCTCTGTGCATACGAATCAGGTTTATGTCACAACAATCGTATGGGGGTACTATCAGTCCCCACTTTTCAGGTGAGGACGCTGCGGCCCAGATGAGGCAGGGCAGGACAAGGCCAGGACAATTCCTTGGCAAGTGGAATAGGGAAACTGAGACAGAGCCAAACACACTGGCCGAGCAATTGACAGCCAGAGACAGAAGGTCACCTCCCCAGAGATGACATCCAGGCCTCAGCTGTTTCAGCTCCAGGCCCAGAAAAGCAGCAAAATCAGGTGGACAACCAGTGACCCCTGCTCGGATGCTGACCGATCAGTGGAGAGCAGGACCCCAAAGGACCACACCTGAAGAGCTGACGAGCACGCTGCGGAAACCCTCCCGAGACTCCTCTAGGACTCCTGCCTGCGAGAGAGAGAAAAGCCTCCAGACAAAGCGCCCCACAGGGCCTGGCCGGTGTGGCTCAGTGGCTGAGGGTCGACCCATGTACCCATGTACCCTGTACCAAGAGGTTGCCAGTTCAAGTCCTGGTCACGGCACACGCCTGGGTTGCGGGCTTGATCCCCAGTAGGGGGCGTGCAGGAGGTGGGCCATCTACGGTTCTCTCTCATCGATGTTTCTATCACTTTCTCTTTCTCCCTTCCTCTCTCTAAAAATCAATAAAAATATTGTTTTTAAATATCAAAACAAAGAACCCTGCAGGAGCTCTTTCTCCGGGGAGCGGGCCCAAGCCTCCCTTTCCCCATCTTCTTCCCCCAGAGGCCTGCATCTTCTAAACTCTAAGGGACCCCACGAGACTTGCAGCCAGGGGAGCAGTGGGCAGCGACAGCTCATCCTGGGCGTACCCCCTGAACCTGTCTCCAAGGCCCCCTGTTCTCTGACCCCCCCAGTGAGCTAGGCAGCCCAGCCGGGCTCTCCTGCTGCTTCCTCTACGCTAAGCCCTTCCTTGTTTCGCGTCCCCGGGTGTATCAAACGTACTCTCTGTTTTCTGGACTCATACTGTGGAATCGGTCCTACACGACGGTAAGAACCCACCCACGACCAGCAGGCCTGAGGCAGACCCACTCAGGGCCAGGTCCCCTGTCCAGTAACACAGAGGTTTGGTGACTTGCCCAAGGTCATACAGCCCTTAAGTAATAAAGCCAATCTTATTTTTTAAAAAAATTTTTTTTTCTTTATTGATTTTAGAGAGTGAGAAAGGGAGATGGAGAGAGAGAGAGAGACAGAAACATCGATGAGAGAGAACATAGACTGGCTGCCTCCCACATGCCCCCGAATGGGAATTTGACCCACAACCTGTGCGTGTGCCCTGACCAGGAATTGAACCGGCGACCTCTTGGTGCATGGGTCGCTGCTCAACCGCTGAGCTACACTGGCCGGGCAGTAAAGCCAACATCAGAACGAAGGTCAGGGGCTCTGAAGCACTCTGACACGCTGCCTTGCCTCGCAGGGGCCTCTAAGCCAGGCTGGGTGCCCCGCTCTGCCAGCTGTGCCCGACTCCCTGCATCCTCCTCGTTCTGGAGGTCCTGACCAGGCACGAGCCCGTCAGCACACCAACATTCCCCTGACCTCAGTCACTGGCCCAGGCTGGCCTGCGACCCAGTCAGAACCAGTGAGTCGAGATGGACTTTCCCTGGGACTTCCAGGACAGAGAGGTCCTCTGTTCTCTCCTGGTTTTGGTGATGGAAGGAGGTGATGGGAGACCACAGAGGGGAGTCAACAGCAGAGACAGCGGCACGAAGATGGGGACCCCCAGCACTGGGCACTGCCAGGGTGCACAGTGTTGGGCTCATCCATACAGTACAACAGGGCCCCCGGGAGTGGGCCAAGGCGGACCACCTGGCCTGATCCGAGCCCAGAATCACCAAGTACCTCCATGCCGCTTGGTGCCATGAGCCAATATATCCTTTGTTTCAAAAAATATTTTATCTTTGTCCAGCCGGTGTGGCTCAGCAATTGAGCACCGACCCTGCACCAAGAAGAGGTCATCAATTCGATTCCCGGTCAGGAAATCGAGAGAGACATCGATTGGCTGCCTCCTACATGCCCCCCACTAGGGATCAGGCCTACAACCTGGACATGTGTCCTGACCAGGAATCGAACTGGCTACCTCTTGGTGCAGGGTCGACGCTCAACCACTGAGCCACACCGGCGGGACCTATATATCCCTTTTAAAAGCCAACCTGAACTTTGGCCGGTTTTGCTCAGTGGTTAGAGCATTAGCCTGCAGTCCAGAGAGACCCAGGTTCGGTTCCGGCTAAGGGCACGTACCTCAGTTGCGGTTTGTCCCTGGCCCTGGTTGGGTCGTGCAGGTGGCGACCACCTGATGTGTCCCTTTCACATCGATGTTTTTCTCTCTCTCCCTCCTTCCCTTCCACTCCATCTGAACAAAATATCAAAAACATCCCTGGGTGCCGTGACCCAGCCCTCGCCACACCGCAGAACCGACACCGGGCCCGTGGCTCAGATCCTCAGCTGCCTCCACTTCGACACTTGGTGGAGACTGAGGGCGCCAGTAGCACAGCCGCCCCCACAGTGGCTGCTGGTGGGTCCACGCTCACCCGACATCTGACTGGTTAATGTCAAGGTGACCCGGAGTGCTCACTCAGCAGGCAGAGGGTCAGGAGCCAGGGTGTGGGAGATGGGCAGAGTCAGCCAGGCATCAGAAAATCCCCAGGTCACCGGAGTGGCCAGGGAGGACTTTAATCTCATCTCTGTGTTACTCTCTTAGAAAGGACTAAATCTGTAAATTATTCACATAATTAAAAATTAGCTTTAAAATGGTTAGGGTGAAATGACAAGTCATGTAGTTACACTATCTTAGATGAGTGTTGGCATTCTCTCTTTTTTTTTTATCCTCACCCAAGGACATTTTTCGATATTTTGTTCAGACAGAGTGGGACGGAGAGAGAGAGAGAGAGAAACATCGACGTGAAAGGGACACATCGAGTGGTTGCCACCCAGGGCCCGGGACAAACTGCAACCGAGGCACGTGCCCTTAGTGGGAACTGAACCTGGGTCTCTCTGGACCGCAGGCCGACGCTCTAACCGCTGAGCCAAACCGGCCAGGGCTCTTTCTTTTTTTTTTTAACTTCACCTGAGGATCTTTTTTCCATTGCTTTTTAGATCGAATAGAAGGGAGAGAGGGCCCTGGCCAGTTTGGCTCAGCGGTTAGAGCACTGGCCTGCGGTCCGGAGAGACCCGGGTTCGGTTCCCGCTAAGGACACGTACCTCGGTTGCAGATTGTCCCCAGTCCTGGTTGGGTTGTGCGGGTGGCAACCACTCGATGTGTCCCTTTCACATCGATGTTTCTCTCTCTCTCTCTCCCTCCCACTCAATCTGAACAAAAAATGGAAAAAATGTCCTCGGGTGAGGATTAAAAAAAACAACAAAAACAAAAACAAAAAAAAGATAGAGTGGGAGGGAGAGAGAAAGACAGAGAGAAACATCGATGTGATAGAGCTATATGAACTGGTTGCCTCCCGTATGACATGACCAGGGCTGGGGACAAACCACAACGGAGGTACGTGCCCTTGACTGGAATTGAACCCATGACTCTTTGGTTCACGGGACAACGCTGTAACTGCTGAGTCAAACCGGCCAGGGTAACAACATGGACTCTTGAAGCTAATGGACCAAGTTCCATTCCACAGATCTATGAACAGTATAAACTGGTATTTCAACGCCAGCTAAAAGACATTTCAAAAGATAAAAGATATCCAAGATTCACATACATTAGAACTAGAAAAACATGGCAATTAAGCAATGAAACTCCATAAAAAATTAGGAGTAAATTAGTTATTTCAGAAATGAAACTAAACCAGAAAGACAACAAAAGTGAATATATGCGCCCTGGCCGGTTTGGCTCAGCGGTTAGAGCGTCAGCCTGCGGTCCAGAGAGACCCGGGTTCGGTTCCTGCTAAGGGCATGTACCTCGGTTGCAGTTTGTCCCCGGCCCTGGTTGGGTCGTGCGGGTGGCAGCCACTCGATGTGTCCCTTTCATGTCAATGTTTCTCTCTCTCTGTCCTTCCCACTCTATCTGAACAAAAAATGGAAAAATGTCCTCGGGTAAGGATAAAAAAAAAGGTGAATACATGCTACAGGTACTTCCTAATGGGAAATAGGTTTTAAAATTAAAAATAAAGAAATATGCTCGGTGGTAGAGTGTCAGCCTGCAGACCAATGAGTCGTGGGTTTGATTCCGGCCAAGGGCACGTACCTCGGTTTCTGTTTGTCCCCGGCCCTGGTCAGGTCAGTCGGGAGACAACCAGTTTGATGTGTCCCTCTCACATCGATGTTTCTCTCTCTCGCCCTCTCTCCCTCCTGCTCTATCTGAAGATAAATGGAAAAATATCCTTGGGGGAGAGAGAGAGAAGCGAGGTTCCTGTAACATTAGTTGCTCTACGTAACCCCAGGGAAACCACAAAGAGAACAGCTCCACAGGCCAGCACAGTGACTGTAGTTAACATACTGGACTGTGCACCTGAGAGTTGCTAAGACACACAAAGAGGTAGTTATGTGAGGTGCCGGATGTGACAACTATGTTGTAATCACCCGAGGATATGTCTTCATTGATTGTGCACCTGAGAGTTGCTAAGACACACAAAGAGGTAGTTATATGAGGTGCCGGATGTGCTAACTATGTTGTAATCACCCGCGGATATGTCTTCATTGATTGTAGAGAAAGGGGAAGCGGGGAGAGAGAGAGAAAGTAAGAGAAATATTGATTGTTTGCCTCCCTGCCTGGGAATCGAACCTGCCAACTTTTGGTGCACAGGACAATGCTCCAACCAGCTGAGCCACCAGCAAAGCAACACAAAGCCTGGCTTGTCTGTCCTAACACCGCTCACCTCTGACCTGTGTCCCAGTGCTGTCTGTCGGTCTGTCTGCCCTGTCGTCACCTACAGCCTTCTGGGAGCTCCTCAGACCTCTGGGCCTGAACTGAGATGGATGTCAGGGAACCGGTCCTGTGAGAGGAGGTGGGAGGAAGCACGCCCAGCAGGAAGGACTGACGGCGGCCTGGCTGTCCTGGGAAGCCCTGGGGCAAGTACTGCACGCTGATGTCCGGAGTCTTGCTCGGTCGCTGAGCAGACTTCTCCAGGCATGGTGGCCCTGCGCAGGTGACTCAGACTCTGCTCGCACTGACAGGCGGAGACCGCCTACCGACTGCACTACGGTTGAAGGCAAGTCCTCCCTTGACAGGTGAGAGCACGGTCCCTTGACCGTACTGCTGTCCCACGTCATCCGGCCAGGTCTCGGGACAGCGAGTGCAACCCTTTCTGAGGGAAACCTTTGCGCAGACCTCTGGCTTCTTGGCTGTCGTAAAACTTGGCTCTTCTCCCCCCAGCAGTGATCACAGTAATCACACATTTGCATGTGCGATGATCTACATGCTATCTGATTATCTACATGCTATCTGTCGTCCCTAAGAAACTGTATGTTCTGTGCAGGCCCAGAGCTCAGCCTGGTACCTCGAACATGGCAGGTGCCCAGTGAAGATTTGTTAAGGAGCTCTGGCCAGTTTGGCTCAGCAGTTAGAGCATCGGCCCGTGGACCAGAGAGTCCTGGGTTCGGTTCCCGCTAAGGGCATGTATCTCGGTTGCAGTTTGTGCCTGGCCCTGGCAGGGGTCATGTGGGTGGCAATCACTTGATGTGTCTCTCTCGCATGGCTGTTTCTCTCTCTCTCTTCCTCTCTCTCTCCCTCTTGTTCTTTTTTTTATCCTCAACTGAGGACATTTTTCCATTTTTTGTTCAGACAGAGTGGGAGGGAGAGAGAGGAAGAGAGAGAGAAAAACATCGACGTGAAAGCGACAAATCAAGTGGCTGCCTCCTGCACGACCCAACCAGGGCCAGGGACAAACTGCAATCGAGGTACGTGCCCTTAGTGGGAATCGAACCCGGGTCTCTCTAGACCGCGGGCTGAAGCTCTAACCGCTGAGCCAAACCGGCCAGGGCTCTCCCTCCTGTTCTATATGAAGAAAATACAAAAATGTCCTCTGGTGAGGATTAAAAAAAAAAAGATTTGCTAAGGAGCGCAGATTGGTGGCACGTCTATGAACATATGACTCTCCGAACTGTATGCAGCATCAGGAGCTTGCTATGTGCTTGGAGCTGTCATTCAGTTCCCAGGGAGGGCATTCATGATCCTTTCCATCCGGTGTTATCTTTAATGTTAGGAGCCTACTCCTGCCCCACCCTTACCTGTTCTAGAGGGCCAAAAAGGGACAAAGTTGACACTATTACCACCACCCATTACCACAGCTACCACCCAAAAGCCTTTCAAGGGCTCAGCATTACAACACACAACTCAAATTTCCCAACCCAGGGAGTTGCTCAAGCCTGGTCCCTGAGCATAAGGCCTGCAGCCCTGGGCTCGGAATGGTGGTCCCCGCTCCACACTTAACTGTGCCACTCGAACAAATCACTCCATCTCTTTGAGCCTCATCTGTAAAACGGGGATGATGCCTGCCTTTTCTTCTTCACTGACGTCCGTCAGGTTCAAATGCAGTGAGAGGCAAGACAGTGCTTTGCAGACGGTAACATGTATTTCACAAGAAAGCAAGGAAACTTTCTTTTCGTGCAACCGTGACAGGTTGGCAAAGGACACTACTGGGGCAGGAACTGGTTTTCTACAGTGATGACGTGGGAGCCCATGCAGATGGGCTGTGTGCTGCTCACTGTTTCTCCCAGTTGTGCAAATAAATGTGTACTCAAGTGTCTCAGCCCGCCCTGCCTCCCAGCTCCTTGGCCCCTTCCGATCAGATCAGGCCTAGCGTAGCAGGAAGTGCACGGACCCTCGGGTGAACAGTGAGGGACTGTGCTTCCGTCATATGCAGGTCAAGGCTAAGTGTGTTTTGGAGGTGGAGGTGGAGGGAGGTGTCTGGATGTGCGTCTCCCTAACAGGGCAAGGTGGGGGAGACCATGACACTGAAGGCAGTGGAGTCCTTAGAAAGCTAAGGCCCCTGGGAAGACTCACCCTGAGGCTGAATTCCTGGCCACTGAGAAAGAGGCTGGGAATGAACTGGTATTGACACAGAATTTCCAAGACAGGAAGGGCCCTTAAAGGTCCTCTATGCAATCTGCCTTGCAGATAGAGTCTGAGGCCGACAGGTAATCCCTCCCACGTCCTTTCGTGGATTTGAGCTTCTCAGACCGGGTGTCTTCCACGCCTCTTCTTCTCTCTGTACTCGCTCTGCGCGAGCCAGGAAGCCTTTACCTGTCGAGACCTTTGCGAAAAACAATAGCCACCCTGTGTTAAGCATTCATTCTTCGGCCAATCTTTACTGAGTGGCCACTCTGTGCTGGAACCCCTTCGAGGAGCTGTGAATGACATGGAGGAACACGCTGCCCTGCCCTTCTGGGCTTCCATGGGGATGGACGGTAAACCCGCGAAGAGAATCTGAACGAGGTCATTTCAGACACTTGGAGGGAAATATAAAGAGGTCATGGAGGTGGGGCAAAGCCTCCACGGAACGGCCAGGACAAGGTCCACCACGTGCTATGCCAGGGGCTGGTCCTTCAATCTCACAACCCCCCTTTGAGGCTGGGGGCAGGTCTCCGTTTTGCAAACCACGTTCAGAAGGGGTAAGAGTGGCAGTCAAGTCCCGAACTCTGAACCCCACTTCCTACCAGCCCTTGCTGAGCAGCCGCGGCCACCGGGATGATGAAACTCGGGTCCAGTACTGCACCATCTTTCAGCCTGCGTCCTTGCGGGGGGGAAGGGGGCGGAACACGCCTCCCGGGGAAGCTGCAAACAGCTTTTAATGCCAAGAAGGCTGAGAGCACGGCCCCCGCCAGGCCCCCGCCAGGCCCCCGCCAGGCCCCCGCGGGGCCGAGCCAGACCCCGGCTCCCGCCTGCTCAGCCTGGGCAGAGCCAGACTCTCTCCCGCCTCCGCCCCGCCCCGCCCCCGATCGGGCCGGCGCGGAGCACTATGGGACTTGTAGTTCAGCCCGCCCGCCACACGCGCTCCAGAAACAGACTGCGGAACTACAAGTCCCAGGGGCCAGCGGGCTGCCCTGGGCGGGCCCACCGGCTGGGGGTGTGCGCGTGCTGAGCGCCCGGTGGTGCGGGCGCCTGGCGCTGGGCTGCGGCCGCGGGCGCCGGAGCCGAGGAGCAGCGCGGGGCGAGCGCGCTAGCCCGCCGGGCAGGGCGGCCGGGCGGCGACAGGCACGTTGCGTGCAGGCGTGCGCCGCGCACGGCCTGGGCAGCCCCCACCGTGCGGAGCTGCGGCCCCGCGGCGGCGCGGCGGAGGGTCGGGTCGCGGCGCCGGGGGATGGGCACCCAGCCCGGAGCCCTTGGCCGGGCGTGGGGCAGGCGCGTGGGCGCCCTCCGTGGGCTGTGCGCGACGTGTTTCCCTTTCTCTGTGTGCCCAGGTGTCCCCGGGCGGGTGCGCGATGCAGCGAGCGGCGGCGTTGGTCCGGAGGGGCTGCTGCCCCCGGACCCCGGGACCCTGGGGGCGTCGTCAGAGCAGCGCGGCCGCCGAGGCCCCGGCCGTGCTCCAAGTGCGGCGCGAGCCGAGCCGGCGCGAGCGCATCCTGACGCTGGAGTCCATGAACCCGCAGGTGAAGGCGGTGGAGTATGCCGTGCGGGGGCCCATCGTGCTCAAGGCCGGCGAGATCGAGCTGGAGCTGCAGCGGGTGAGCGCGGGCCGGCGGCGCCGGACTTCCTTCCACCCGCGTGGCGGCGGCTGCGTTCGGCCAGGCTGGACTTGAACAGCACGGTGCCCTCCTCCCACCCCTTCGCCCGCCCGGGCCCGGCATGGAGTCCGGCCCTCAGACGCGGGTCACCTGTTGAGTGCCCTGTAGTGCCTGGCGCTGTCTTCCCAGCCTGGAACCCGTACCTTGCGGGGCGGTGGGGCGGGGAGGGCAGGGAGACCGTTTGCGGTGAAGAGATCAGGACAACCTCAGAGGTGAATAAGTCCTTTGAAGAAAGTAAAATGGAGGGGCAGGGGGATGGGGTGCTGGGTGGCAGTGGAGGGAAGGTGATCGCTAGGGAGGAGGGGGGTTTGTACCCCAAGCCTTTTCTCTTTATGTCTGAGACCTTTCGGGTGCCAGTAATGAGTTCTTGACAAGAGTAGGAGCCAGGAGATCCCTACCTAGTTCCTTCCTTTAGGCCCCTCTGGAACCTTGATTGACAGCTGCATTTTGTTCCTTCTGGGGACACAGCCACCCCTCAGTACGTTGTGGGGGAGACTTGGGCCTTTGGGGCCTTGGTAGAGACTTTCTTCCTCTTGGTGGCCAGCTGGCTGAGATCTTGGCTTGAGTTCATAGCTGCCTGCAAAGTGACCACACACCCAGGTGTGATATCTACCTCCCGACAAGCAAGAACAAGCAACTTATCTGGCAAGGGCTGAGAGGCCCCTGGAGGGCTTCTCACCTGGTGAGCTGTGGGAGGTGGAGTCAAGAGGGCAATGTCTAAAGGTAAACACTCCTAAGACTTTAAGAACTGATTAGAGAGTTTAAGATGCTTGACCCAGCTGGTGTGGCTCAGTGGCTTGAACGTCTGGGCAATGGACTGAGAGGTCCCGGTGCGATCCCGGGTTTGGGGCTGGATCCCCGTGGGGGGCATGCAGGAGGCAGCTGATGGATGTTTCTCTCTCACATCGATGTTTCTGTTTCTCTCCCTCTCTCTAAAAAAATCAATGAAAACATATTTTTTAAAAAGTTAGTTGAACAATGTTGCTCAAGATAGTTCTGACCCAGAATGGGGGTGGGGGAGGTTCAGAACTGGACTTCTCGGTGAGGTGGTCACGCAGTGTCCGAGAATGCATGGAAGGAAGCCATGGTGGGACCCAGCCACTTGTCCCCGTTCCCACAGGGACTTTGAGGGTTTGATGAGCTCGTGGCCGGCAGACAGCTCATCGGGACACCCAGTTCTGCTGACTCAAAACAGTGAGCTGGACAAGTCCGAGTCCAGTGTCTCCTCCTGGCTCCTTGCAGGGCTATGTTTAAAGCTTGGCTCGGAGGTGGGCCCGGGGAACCCGGTTTGCGCTGCTCTGTTCCTTGTTGATGTTGGGCAGGCTGGCGCTGGCTCAGCTGAGACAACAAACAGTCTCCTTGTTACAACAAAGCTGAGGTTAAATTGTTCCCGGTTTATCACTTTTCAGCTGATTTCTCTGGTTCCAGAGCTGAGCAGAGGTCAGGGGTTATCTCTCCATTTTGCTCAATAGCAGCTTGGGTGTGGGCTCCTTGAAGCGCGAGGG